TCCCTCGGTCCGTCGCGACCTCGCGCCCAATGGTGCCTTTTTCCCTGGTCCACTGCGGCCACTTGCCTTCGGGTCCACTGCGACCGCGACCGCTGGGGCCCCAGGCCCCGGGCGGCTCAGGGGAGCTTGCTGCGTCGCGCCCCTTGTGGCCCATAGTGGCCATCAGCTGACGCGCAGCTCTCCTCTCCTCCCCGTGGCGCGCCGGCACGCAGGCGCGCGGGCTTCAGCTGGCGCGCAGCTCTCGCCGTCGCGCGGGATTGCTGCGCGCGCCCCGTGGCGCCGTGCGTGGGCTGGCGACGCTTGCCTTCTTGCAAACTGACCCTGTCGCGGGCGCGAAGTGGAGGGAGATCCAGTTCAAGGGCGCGGTTGATTGCCCAGCAGCCAATGGGCTGATGACGCCAGAAGACCTGGCCAACATTGAATCCGAGGATTTGAAGGACACCGACGGCGCGCCAGTGCTGACGAAGGGCGCCCTGAGGCGCGCTCTGGATCGCGCGACGGTGGCGGGCGCCACGGCGAGTTCGCCGGGGGCCGGGAGGCCCGCGCGGGCTTCGGCGCGTTGTTTCGCTTCGGTTGCCGCAGAATCCTGGTCCCGCGCCGAAGGGCGAACATGTTGACATCGGTGCGGGCCTGGCCCAGATCACCCTGAGGGGCCTTCCGCAGTCCCTGTGGCCGAGGCTGCTGCGCGGCTTCGCCCTGGCGCGCTGGCGCGTTTCCACCGTTCGCTCAGGTCGGCGAAGACCGATGCGCTGGCCACCGAGGTACACCGCGCCAAAGCCAGGGGCATCGCGCACTTGTTCATTGATACAGACCTCGTGAAGTTTCAGCCGCTATGCGCGCGTGGCGCGGGCGGTTCCCCCGACGATGACGAGTCCGAGTCAAAAGAGGCAGCCGCTTTGGCCAGGGCGCTCGGGCGGGGAACCGCGGCGGAGAGTCAGCCGCTTCTGGCGTGGACGCCACGGCACCAAGCTTTCGACGCGTGGAGCGCGGCGGCGGCGGTCACGGTCACATATCAGATCTCGCGCACGAGCGCCATGGCCCACAAACGCGTTGTTCTACAGGAGTTTGTTTTTCCCAACCATCCTGTGGTGTTGGGTCCTCGTTTTGAAAAGACGGTCCCCGCGTCCTCCTCTCCTCTCCTCTCCTCTCCTCTCCTCTCCTCTCCTCCTCTCCTCTCCTCCTCTCCTCCTCTCCTCTTCACCCACCCAGTACACCGTTTCGTGGTCCCATAGGGAGCTCCGCCGAAGGCCCCAGTGCTGCCGCCCGCATGCGTCACCCACACCAAATTCGGCACACCCCTCACACGTTCGTGGCCCCATAGGGAGCACCACCGAAGGCCCCAGTGCTGCCGCCCGCATGCGTCACCCACACCCAATTCGGCACACCCCTCACACGTTTCGTGGCCCCATAGGGAGCCCCACCGAAGGCCCCAGTACTGCCGCCCGCATGCGTCACCCACGCCCAATTCGGCACACCCCTCACACGTTTCGTGGCCCCATAGGGGGCCCGACCGAAAGCCCAAGTGCTGCCGCCCGCATGCGTCACCCACACCCAATTCGGCACACCCCTCACACGTTTCGTGGCACCATAGGGAGCCCCACCGAAGGCCCCAGTACTGCCGCCCGCATGCGTCACCCACACCCAATTCGGCACACCCCTCACACGTTTCGTGGCCCCATAGGGAGCTTCCACCGAAGGCCCCAGTGCTGCCGCCCGCATGCGCCACCCACACCCAATTCGGCACACCCCTCACACGTTTCGTGGCCCCATAGGGAGCCCCACCGAAGGCCCCAGTGCTGCCGCCCGCATGCGTCCGGCGGGGCTTTCTGGGTGGCCGGCGGGGCAGGTCGAAGGTCCCACTCCTCCCTGGGTGGGCGGGCGGGGGCCAGAGACAGGCTATGGAGGAGGAGGAGGAGGAGGAGGAGGAAGGATTGAGAAGTGCAGGGGCGGAAGAAAAAATCCTGACGGCTAATACCTGCGATTTTTCTGCGAGCGGTGAAACAACATGAGTGCATTCAAAAGACAACAATGTACATGCGCAAGCAATTTTGACAATCAGGCATTCCTCTTGCGAAACGAGGACTTGCCACTGATTGCCAAGTCCCCCGCGCCCTGAACGCGAAGAGCCCACAAAGAGGCCATCGCCCAGAAAAAAACGCCAGCTGCTACTTCTCACAACAGCGGGCATCAGGCACGAGCAGCGCAGTCACGGACGCCGCGTGCGCCCTGAGGCTGTGGCGCCTGTGTTGGGCCTAAATCACGTGAACAATTGGTGGATCAAGTTATCAGGCTGTCATCTCCACAAACAATGACTAATGAATCTTCGCTATCACTTCTATTAACCTCGGATGCGATGGCTTCGTCACTGCCACCAGGTGCAACAACGATTATTGAATCTTCGCTATCACCTGTCGTAATTTCGGGCGCGATGGCTTGGTCAGAAAAAAAACATCCGGCATTCCTCAACGGCGAGACAGTTCGGTCGTCAACGGATTCCGGGACTACTTTTAGCGTCCCGCGCCGCCATCTCGAGACGACGACGAGCGCCAAGGTGCAGATGGCGATGCCCCCAAGGACGACTAGAACAAATATGACCGCAACATTCGCGACTGCCTCATGGGTCGCTTCCTGGCCCAGATCAGGCCGCTCAGTATCATCAGCTGACACCGAGGACGTTAACGTTGTCGGTACAAACACGATCGGGGTAGACACAACAGGGGTCGCCATGGTAGGAGCAGATGTTATCACAGACTCACCGATCCAATCAGCAGCAGCCATTGCACTGTCAGTATGGGCTTTGATCTCGGCAGCAGCTCCGGCAATCGTTGTAGAAATAATCGTCGCCGTGTTTTCGTCGGCGACCGAAATTCGCCAGCCCAACGGGCCAGAGGCGTGCTAAGATCTCCGGCAACTGCTCAACAATATTTCTAGTTCGCGCGCGCGGGGTGGGCCCTGGGGGTCCCCGGACGAAAAGTACCCCGGCAAGGTCCCGGCAGACTCCCGGCAAGGTCCCGGCAGACTCCCGGCAGACTCCCGGCAAGGTCCCTTGTCGGAGCCCAGGAGGGCTCCGAACGGTCCAAGAGAGGTCCGAGAAGCCCTCCAGACGGTCCAAGAGAGCCGGGAGACGCCGAAATATCACTCCCAAACGGCTGCGATGGCCTCAAGACGGCCCAACAGGCCTTCAAGACGCCCCAAGAGGTCCCTAAGCGGCGCCCCAAGAGGGCTCCCACTAGCAAAAATCGTCCCATTCCCTCAGGAAAACGCGCATTTTTAACATATCCGCCTCTTCGTCTTTCACACCTTTCAAAGCGGTCCAAGAGGCCCCAAGATCACCCAAGACGGCCCGAGAGACCCTCAAGACCGCTCAAAGACGGCCCAAGAGCGCTCCAAGAAGGCCCAAGAAACCCTCAAGAACTCTTTTTCGGAGCCCAAGAGGGCTCCAAATCGGTCCAAGAGGGGCCCGAGAAGCCCTCCAGACGGTTCAAGAGAGCCGGGAGACGCCGAAATATCACTCCCAAACGCCTACGATGGCCTCAAGACGGCCCAACAGGCCTTCAAGACGCCCCAAGAGGTCCCTAAGAGGTCCCTAAGCGGCGCCCCAAGAGGGCTCCCACTAGCAAAAATCGTCCCATTCCCTCAGGAAAACGTGCATTTTTAACATATCCGCCTCTTCGTCTTTCACACCTTTCAAGGCGGTCCAAGAGGCCCCCAAGATCACCCCAAGACGGCCCGAGAGACCCTCAAGACCGCTCAAAGACGGCCCAAGAGCGCTCCAAGAAGGCCCAAGAAACCCTCAAGAACTCTTTTTCGGAGCCCAGGAGGGCTCCAAATCGGTCTAAGAGAGGTCCGAGAAGCCCTCCAGACGGTTCAAGAGAGCCGGGAGACGCCGAAATATCACCCCAAAGCGCCTACGATGGCCTCAAGACGGCCCAACAGGCCTTCAAGACGCCCCAACAGGTCCCTAAGCGGCGCCCCACGAGGGCTCCCACTAGCAAAAATCGTCCCATTCCCTCGGGAAAACGCGCATTTTTAACATATCCGCCTCTTCGTCTTTCACACCTTTCAAAGCGGTCCAAGAGGCCCCCAAAATCACACCAAGACGGCCCGAGAGACCCTCAAGACCGCTCAAAGACGGCCCAAGAGCGCTCCAAGAAGGCCCAAGAAACCTTCAAGACGGTCCAAGAGGCCCCAAGACGGCCCCATGATTGAGGTCCACAGGGGCAACCTGAACGGAAATTTTGAGCCTCCCGCCCAAACACGCCCCCGAAATGCCCCTACAAGCCCCCAAGTAGCCCCACGAAGCCCCCAAGAGAGCCCCAAGAGGCCCCCAACAGGCCGCAAGAAAGCCCCAAGAGGCCCCCAAGAGACCCCCAGGAAGCTCCCAGGAGGCCCCCAAGAGGCCAGGCAGACCCCCCCAAGAGACCACCAAGAGGGCCCACCCAGAACCATCCACGAGGCCTCCCAAAAGTTCCAAGAAGCTCCCACGAAGCTTCCAAGGGCTCCCAAGACCCCCCAAGACCCCGCGATGGCACAATACGGGCCGGCGGAACGAGCGAAGCGATTCAATCGCGAAGCTGGTCGTCACCGAGACCGTATCCGACAGCTGGCGGACGGCAATCGAAAGACGACGGGCGTCTATGGTGAAACTTGTAATCTCAATAGCGGAAGCTCGAATGGACAAAGCATCAGCTAAACCCGCCTTCTTAGCGGCCACGTAAAGAGCGGACGCCATGAGGTCAGACGACGTGATTCCCGTCGGTAGACTTTCACGCGCCGTGTACTCAGCAAGGACTGAAATCACAAAGGTCGAAGCCTCCACGTCGTAGGTGGTCGTGGCTGTCGGCGACGTCGGTAACCTTGTCAAGCCGCCGGTCCGAGTCGTGCTGGTCACGATTGTGCGGCTGCTCCCACTCCTGCTGCTCAGCGACGTACTGGTCGCTGTGGTGCTCGCCATGGTGGTCGTACTCGTCACGGTGGTGCTTGCCAAAATGGTAAAACTCGTCACGGTGGTGCTGGCCATGGTGGTAGTACTCGCCACGATGGTGTTCGCCATAGTGTTAGTACTCGTCACAATGGTGCTGGTCATAGTTGTAGTACTCGTCACGATGGTGCTGGCTATAGATGTAGTGCTCGTCACGGTGGTGCTCGTCATAGCGTCAGTACTCGTCACGGTGGTGCTGGCCATGGTTGTAGTACTCGTCACGGTAGTGCTCGCCATAGTGCTAGTACTCGTCACGGATGTGCTGGTCATGGTGGAAGTACTCGTCACGATGGTGCTCGCCATAGTGTTAGTACTCGTCACGATGGTGCTGGTCATAGTGGTAGTACTTGTAACGGTGGTGCTGGCCATAGTGGTAGTACTTGTCACGGTGGTGCTCGTCATACTGGAAGTACTCGTCACCGTAAAGCTGGTCATAGTGGTAGCACGTGTCACGGTGGTGCTCGTCATACTGGTAGTACTTGTCACGGTGGTGCTCGTCATACTAGTAGTACTCGTCACCGTAGTGCTGATCATAGTGGTAGTACTTGTCACGGTGGTGCTGGCCATGGTGGTAGTACTCGCCACGATGGTGCTCGCAATAGTGTTAGTACTCGTCACAATGGTGCTGGTCATAGTTGTAGTACTCGTCACGATGGTGCTGGCTATAGATGTAGTGCTCGTCACGGTGGTGCTCGTCATAGCGTCAGCACTTGTCACGGTGGTGCTCGCCATCGTGGTCGTACTTGTGCCGGTAGTTCTTGCCACAGTCGCGCTGGTCATAGTGAAAATACTCGTCACGGTGGTGCTGGCCTTAGTTGTAGTACTCGTCACGGTAGTGCTCGTCATAGTGGTAGTACTTGTCACGGTGGTGCTCGTCATGCTGGTAGTACTCGTCACCGTAGTGCTGGTCATAATGGTAGTACTTGTCACAGTGGTGCTTGCCAAAGTGGTAGTACTCGTCACGGTAGTGCTCGCCATAGTGTTAGTACTCGTCACAATGGTGCTGGTCATAGTTGTAGTACTCGTCACGATGGTGCTGGCTATAGATGTAGTGCTCGTCACGGTGGTGCTCGTCACAGCGTCAGCACTTGTCACGGTGGTGCTCGCCATCGTGGTCGTACTTGTCACGGTGGTGCTCGTCATGCTGGTAGTACTCGTCACCGTAGTGCTGGTCATAATGGTAGTACTTGTCACGGTGGTGCTCGTCATACTGGTAGTACTCGTCACCGTAGTGCTGGTCATAGTGGTAGTACTTGTCACGGTGGTGCTGGCCATGGTGGTAGTACTCGCCACGATGGTGCTCGCCATAGTGGTAGTACTCTTCACAATGGTGCTGGTCCTAGTTGTAGTACTCGTCACGATGGTGCTGGCTATAGATGTAGTGCTCGTCACGGTGGTGCTCGTCATAGCGTCAGTACTCGTCACGGTGGTGCTGGCCATGGTTGTAGTACTCGTCACGGTAGTGCTCGCCATAGTGCTAGTACTCGTCACGGATGTGCTGGTCATGGTGGAAGTACTCGTCACGATGGTGCTCGCCATAGTGTTAGTACTCGTCACGATGGTGCTGGTCATAGTGGTAGTACTTGTCACGGTGGTGCTCGTCATACTGGTAGTACTTGTCACGGTGGTGCTCGTCATACTGGTAGTACTCGTCACCGTAGTGCTGGTCATAGTGGTAGTACTTGTCACGGTGGTGCTCGTCATACTGGTAGTACTCGTCACCGTAAAGCTGGTCATAGTGGTAGTACTTGTCACGGTTGTGCTCGTCATGGTGGTAGTACTTGTCACGGTGGTGCTCGTCATACTGGTAGTACTCGTCACCGTAAAGCTGGTCATAGTGGTAGTACTTGTCACGGTGGTGCTCGTCATACTGGTAGTACTTGTCACGGTGGTGCTCGTCATACTGGTAGTACTCGTCACCGTAAGGCTGGTCATAGTGGTAGTACTTGTCACGGTGGTGCTCGTCATACTGGTAGTACTCGTCACCGTAAAGCTGGTCATAGTGGTAGTACTTGTCACGGTTGTGCTCGTCATGGTGGTAGTACTTGTCACGGTGGTGCTCGTCATACTGGTAGTACTCGTCACCGTAGTGCTGGTCATAGTGGTAGTACTTGTCACGGTGGTGCTGGCCATGGTGGTAGTACTCGCCACGATGGTGCTCGCCATAGTGTTAGTACTCGTCACAATGGTGCTGGTCATAGTTGTAGTACTTGTAACGATGGTGCTGGCTATAGATGTAGTGCTCGTCACGGTGGTGCTCGTCATAGCGTCAGCACTTGTCACGGTGGTGCTCACCATCGTGGTCGTACTTGTGCCGGTAGTTCTTGCCACAGTCGCGCTGGTCATAGTGAAAATACTCGTCACGGTGGTGCTTGCCAAAGTGGTAGTACTCGTCACGGTAGTGCTCGCCATAGTGTTAGTACTCGTCACAATGGTGCTGGTCATAGTGGTAGTACTTGTCACGGTGGTGCTGGCTATAGATGCAGTGCTCGTCACGGTGGTGCTCGTCATAGCGTCAGCACTTGTCACGGTGGTGCTCGCCATCGTGGTCGTACTTGTCACGGTGGTGCTCGTCATGCTGGCAGTACTCGTCACCGTAGTGCTGGTCATAATGGTAGTACTTGTCACAGTGGTGCTTGCCAAAGTGGTAGTACTCGTCACGGTAGTGCTCGCCATAGTGTTAGTACTCGTCACGATGGTGCTGGTCATAGTGGTAGTACTCGTCACGATGGTGCTGGCCATAGTGGTAGTACTTGTCACGGTGGTGCTCGTCATACTGGAAGTACTCGCCACCGTAAAGCTGGTCATAGTGGTAGCACGTGTCACGGTGGTGCTCGTCATACTGGTAGTACTTGTCACGGTAGTGCTCGTCATAGTGGCAGTACTCGTCACCGTAGTGCTGGTCATAATGGTAGTACTTGTCACAGTGGTGCTTGCCAAAGTGGTAGTACTCGTCACGGTAGTGCTCGCCATAGTGTTAGTACTCGTCACGATGGTGCTGGTCATAGTGGTAGTACTCGTCACTCGTCATACTGGTCACCGTATAGTGGTAACGTGTCATTGGTGCTCGTCATACTGGTAGTACTTGTCACGGTGGTGCTCGTCATGCTGGCAGTACTCGTCACCGTAGTGCTGGTCATAATGGTAGTACTTGTCACAATGGTGCTTGCCAAAGTGGTAGTACTCGTCACGGTAGTGCTCGCCGTAGTGTTAGTACTCGTCACGATGGTGCTGGTCATAATGGTAGTACTCGTCACAATGGTGCTCGTCATACTGGAAGTACTCGCCACCGTAAAGCTGGTCATAGTGGTAGCACGTGTCACGGTGGTGCTCGTCATACTGGTAGTACTTGTCACGGTGGTGCTCGTCATGCTGGCAGTACTCGTCACCGTAGTGCTGGTCATAATGGTAGTACTTGTCACAGTGGTGTTTGCCAAAGTGGTAGTACTCGTCACGGTAGTGCTCGCCATAGTGTTAGTACTCGTCACGATGGTGCTGGTCATAGTGGTAGTACTCGTCACGATGGTGCTCGTCATACTGGAAGTACTCGTCACCGTACAGCTGGTCATAGTGGTAGCACGTGTCACGGTGGTGCTCGTCATACTGGTAGTACTTGTCACGGTGGTGCTCGTCATGCTGGCAGTACTCGTCACCGTAGTGCTGGTCATAATGGTAGTACTTGTCACAATGGTGCTTGCCAACGTGGTAGTACTCGTCACGGTAGTGCTCGCCATAGTGTTAGTACTCGTCACGATGGTGCTGGTCATAGTGGTAGTACTCGTCACGATGGTGCTCGTCATACTGGAAGTACTCGTCACCGTACAGCTGGTCATAATGGTAGCACGTGTCACGGTGGTGCTCGTCATACTGGTAGTACTTGTCACGGTGGTGCTCGTCATGCTGGCAGTACTCGTCACCGTAGTGCTGGTCATAATGGTGGTACTTGTCACAGTGGTGCTTGCCAAAATGGTAGTACTCGTCACGGTAGTGCTCGCCATAGTGTTAGTACTCGTCACGATGGTGCTGGTCATAGTGGTAGTACTCGTCACGATGGTGCTCGTCATACTGGAAGTACTCGTCACCGTAAAGCTGGTCATAGTGGTAGCACGTGTCACGGTGGTGCTCGTCATACTGGTAGTACTAATCACGGTGGTGCTCGTCATGCTGGCAGTACTCGTCACCGTAGTGCTGGTCATAATGGTAGTACTTGTCACAGTGGTGCTTGCCAAAGTGGTAGTACTCGTCACGGTAGTGCTCGCCGTAGTGTTAGTACTCGTCACGATGGTGCTGGTCATAGTGGTAGTACTCGTCACGATGGTGCTCGTCATACTGGAAGTACTCGTCACCGTAAAACTGGTCATAGTGGTAGCACGTGTCACGGTGGTGCTCGTCATACTGGTAGTACTTGTCACGGTGGTGCTCGTCATGCTGGCAGTACTCGTCACCGTAGTGCTGGTCATAATGGTAGTACTTGTCACAGTGGTGCTTGCCAAAGTGGTAGTACTCGTCACGGTAGTGCTCGCCATAGTGTTAGTACTCGTCACGATGGTGCTGGTCATAGTGGTAGTACTCGTCACGATGGTGCTCGTCATACTGGAAGTACTCGTCACCGTAAGCTGGTCATAGTGGTAGCACGTGTCACGGTGGTGCTCGTCATACTGGTAGTACTTGTCACGGTGGTGCTCGTCATGCTGGCAGTACTCGTCACCGTAGTGCTGGTCATAATGGTAGTACTTGTCACAGTGGTGCTTGCCAAAGTGGTAGTACTCGTCACGGTAGTGCTCGCCATAGTGTTAGTACTCGTCACGATGGTGCTGGTCATAATGGTAGTACTCGTCACGATGGTGCTCGTCATACTGGAAGTACTCGTCACCGTAAAGCTGGTCATAGTGGTAGCACGTGTCACGGTGGTGCTCGTCATACTGGTAGTACTTGTCACGGTGGTGCTCGTCATGCTGGCAGTACTCGTCACCGTAGTGCTGGTCATAATGGTAGTACTTGTCACAGTGGTGCTTGCCAAAGTGGTAGTACTCGTCACGGTAGTGCTCGCCATAGTGTTAGTACTCGTCACGATGGTGCTGGTCATAGTGGTAGTACTCGTCACCGTAAAGCTGGTCATAATGGTAGCACGTGTCACGGTGGTGCTCGTCATACTGGTAGTACTTGTCACGGTGGTGCTGGCAAGCAGCCTCCTGTCGTTTTCAGATCTGATGGCGACTGCTGTCCTCTTGGCGCCGATCATGGTAACGATTGTCGGGGTGGTGTTGCTGATCATGGAATCCGCGGCGTGAATTGCACGTCCACCACCGCAGCTACAGCACGCTTCCATGGCCAAATGGATCATGCTCCCCAAATCCGAGGGATGACCGATGGTGAAATTACGTTTCATTACCTGATCACCAGGTGAGGTGCACAAGTCCTCGTAGCTGTCGCAAGTAAGCCCCTCACTATCAGTCCAATCTGCAGGAGTGTTTGCACAGCCCTGCGTATCATGAGAGCGCGCCTGCAATGTCATCACCGCCAGGAAAATCGCAGTGAACACGAGCATGCTGCAAAGCCACTCACACAGACTGCTCCTGCGCCAAGGACCCATTGACATCCGCAGGCCCGAATCGGACCAGCACGTTCCAGCCAACGTGGCTCGAGCACGAACGGCTACAGTTGGGATCCCTTGGGCCGTCGTTGGGATCCTTTGGGCCTTCGTTGGGATCCCTTGGGGACGTCGGTGATATTGGCGGCCTCTTGGACCGCCTTGAAGCGTTGGAATACAGAGAAGATGGAACACTAACATTATACAGAAACCTCTGGTATATCAATGATGTTTTCGTCCCCTGCACCGATCTTGGGTAGAGGAATGGAGGAAGAGCGGGGGGAGACGGGGCGGCGACGACGAGGGAGAGAGGAGGAAGGGGAGGAGCGAGGAGAACGAGTGGAAGAAGGCAGGCGAGCCGCGTTGCTCGGCAGGGGGGGGCGCCCCTCCCACCCCCGTGGACGCCCTCCTCGCCCACCACCCCCGCACCCCCGGGCAGGAAAGGAATCTGAGAGAAGAGGAGGTGCTTCCCTTCGACGCAGTAGCGACATGGCTCGATTTCCCTCAGATTGGCATGCTGTTCGGAGGATTGGCATTTCCCCTTCTGGTTGCCGCGGACACCCGACCCTCTCACAGAAGCCGACGAAATCGGCGGCTCTAAACATGTGGGTCTGGTGTTCGGGGTGGTTTCCGGGATGTCCGGGTTGCCTGGGGTGTCCGAAATGTTTGGGGCGTCAGGAGTGTCTGGCGTATCCATGGTGTATGGGGTGTCCAGGATGTCAGGGTTGTCTGGGGCGTCGTCTGCGAACTGCCCAGGGTGTCGGGGTGTGTCCAGGATGTCTGAAATGTCCGCGGGGCGTCTGAAGTGCCCAAGGTGTCAGGTGTGTCTGGGATGTCCAAGGTATCTGGGATGCCCAAGGTGTCCTGGGTGTCCTGGGTGTCCAGGGTGTTTAGCTGATGTGGGGACTTGCTAAGACCTGCGCATATGGTCAGCGAGTATGAGTCAACTTCAAGGATGACTAGTTCCAAATAGCGCACGGCACTTATAGCGTACTGACAAATTACTAGGCAAAGGTTGTGCAACTACGTAGCTGAATGCTGATACGCGGCTGCAAGTGCTTAGCTCAACGGCTGGAGACATAGGGATGCAATCATGTATGCCGTATATGTTGGTTTGCAAATTGCACGACGCTGCACGTAAACAAAGCCAACTGTGTTGCATCAGAAAAACCAGTAATGTTGGACCATACGCATTGACATTCATACTTGCCCCTTGTGTATTATTACGTCGCGGCGCGTTTTCAAATCGTCAAGTCGGGCCGAGGGTTTTGACCCATCACGGAAGTCGGGTCCCCCCCACCGTGCGACGGGCGT